ACAACCAAAAATAACATATAAGTCTTAAGCCTCCAGAATCTTAAACAGAACATTGTCATATATTGTCATATATTGCGCTCCCTACCCCTTCCATTGCCTCCTCCCCAGTCCCTCCCCTCGGTCCGCTTCGTCCTCGTCATCTTCCGATGCCATCAGAGGTTTATCCTCCAATTTCTTCGCAATATCTTCTTCTGTCGACTCCCCTTTTTTCTCATTTTCCTCCTCTCTCCTTTCCTTTCTCTTTTCCCTCTCCTTTCTTTCTTTAATTCTTTCCTCCACCGACTTGTCTTCGTTTATTTTTACTTTCATCTTGCTCACACAGCTCGCTCTTACTGTCGTTACGAGCGTCTTCTACCTGTTCCCCTTCTTATCTTCGATCCCTTCCATCGATCTCTCGGTCTTGCCACCTGTCCGTCGCACATGTTGCGGCGACACCGGTCTGTTCTGCCGCCTTCGATCCCTTGCTTTTGCCGTCTGTCCGTCGCACACGTTGCGGTGATACAGGTCTGTTCTGTAGCTTTCTCCTCCGTTGTCACTTCCTCCTTTCCCCAGGTTTCCCTCCTTTCCTCTCCTTCTCCTCGTCTTCTCCCTCACTATCCCTCTTCGCCTCTTTATTTTTTCCGTCACTCACTCCTCTCCTCTAAAGTTCCTTTATTTTCATTCCATCTCAACTCTTTGTTGTCCACCCACATCTTCTGGTAACCAATTGTCGTTTTTTTTCCCGCCTCTCTTTCTTCTTTTGCTCTCCTTTTTATTTCCTTCTGTATCTGTCTTTCCATCTTGGTGAGGTCGTCGTCCAGAAAATTTTTTCCCTAACTCCCTCCTCGTTCTCATTATCTCCCTTTTGGCCTTTCAGTTTCTGCACTTCAGCATTGTCATTTTATTATCTCCGTATCCTATTTCCTGCACTTCCTCGATGACCACTTCTGTTTTATTTATTTCTCCTATCATCTTCTCGATCTTTTTCTTCCTTTCTGTTTCGTTTCTTCCCGTCGCTTCCTTCACAATTATATTGCATCTCCTGCTTCTCCTCTCCGCCATTTCCAACTTTTTTTCTATCTCTTTCCATTTCTCCATTACTACTTCTCCCTCGTTTCCCTCCCTTCCCTTCAAGCCCGTTTTTTTAACCTTTTCCTCCAGATTTTTCAATCCTTTCTCTATCGAGTTTCTTTGCTTTCCCCATTCCTCCTCCCTCCTTTTAAATTCCTCCTTCAACCCTTTTATTATCTCTTGTATCTCCTCTTTATCTTTTTTTTTCTTTTTCCTGCTCCTCTATTTTCTTTAGAATTTCTTTCAACATTTCCTCCGCCGTTATGCTCTCTTTCCCTTCTCCATCTTTTTTAATTTTTGCCGGCGGCGATCTGTTCATCTTCTTTAGAATTTCTTTTAACAAATCTTCTGTCGCCATGCTTCCTTCCCCCCTTTCTTCTTTTTTGATCTTAGTTGGTGGTGATCTGTCGACCCTTCTTTCCTTGTTAAATTTTTCGAGGATTTCTATCTCTGCAGCTCTCGCCGCTTCTTCTTCTAACTCTTTTCTTTTTCTTTTCTGGATGAACTCTTTGACCGATCCTAGGCTGTCCGATCTTTCTCTTTGTTTGGCAAGCTCCTCCGCCTTTGTAGGCCTGCTTCTTGTTTTCTTCTCCCTTTCGCTTTCCCTCCTCTTTCCTTTATTTCCTTGTTGTTCACTCTCTAATCCTATTTCCTTCTCTGCCTCCATTCGCCGCTTTCCTCTTTGCCTTTCCCTCCTACTCGTTACCTATCCTATGGCTGAAAGCACTTATTGCAGTTATCCCCTCTATATCCTAGCTTGCCTATGTCCGCTTGCGCGACGCCGTCTTCACGTCTATCGCCCCTCTATTATCTCTCTAGTCTCCTTCTATATTCCGCGTGTTCCCTGTCTGTGGCCGTTCTTCTCACAATGCCTTCCCTCTCTTCACTTCACATACTCTCAGCCCGTCCTACTTTCACTCACGGTTTTAGCAACCTTTTTCTCCTCTATTCTGACCTTTCCCGACTTCCCTCCACTTTCTCGCAAACTCTCGCTCCTCCACTTTCTCGTCCCTCCCGAACTTTTCCTCCAGACCTCTCCTATGCCCTCCTAATTTGCCACAATTCACTCGCCTAACTCTCACGTGCCACACTGTATCGTCCCGGAACCGGAAGTCCCATTTAATTTTTAATATTTTTGGCTAAAAATTTACATGTATATTATTGAAATGTAGTAGAATCAAGAAAAAAATTGTATTTTATTGTACCTTTAAGAAAAGGTATTTATTTTGCTAGGTGACGAAGGTGGTTTTTAAGGTAAAAAAATCGAAAAATTTTGTGAAAAAATTTTAGAAAAATTTATTTCTTATTATATAAAGTTAATACTTCATTATTTCATTATTTATTCACTTCCGGCGCAGTTATTACATAAATAAACACGATGTTCATCGCACATCGGACCCAAGCAACTCGGACATTGCATTTTAGTTTGACTGTACTGACACATTATCCTCCTCCTCAGAAGAACTGTTGCCATCGAAATGTTCTGGGTCCGCACTTACTATAACATTCTGAACACGTGGCCG